GGTAATGCTATGCAGCTTCGTATTTATATGATTCTTATCTGCTTGAGTGATGTATGCTTTGCATTAATAATTTTGAAGCTTTTCTCTTTTCCCCTTCGTCTTAACAGAAAACAGACATGATTTAAAATGAGTATCTAATTGTTGGCTACTGAAAATTTCATAAACATAGCATGGCTGGTATGATGGCTAAGAGCTTAGAATTGAAATGTGATAAACAAACTATCTGAACAAGGTCATCCTCTGTGATCCTCCATTTTTCTTACCTGTGAGGTAGGGTTGATGTACTTCCTACAAGATTATTGTATGACACACCTGATAGTTGTCATGTAACAGAACTGACACTAGAACATACACCACTGTCAACTGCTGTGACCGCAGAACCTAGAGAAGTGCTTGGAGAATCACAGCTACTTAAGGAATAGTTGATGGATGAGTGGGTGGTTATGCTGCTGGGCGTTGGACTGACGATAGACTCATGCATCAGCCTGAAGAATGGTTAAATGAATGCTACTGAGAGCATTAAGAAACACTGAATAAAATGTTACTAAATCATAGTCAAGATGTAACTAGTTCATACTTCTGTCTCTGACATGACCATACCAAACTAACAGGACACCAAGACAAATGTTCAATCCTGTCCTTTAAATCTTTACCTCTTCTTCAAAATGACTCTACTTAATCTTCATAGAATCCCAAACTCTCCCCATCTCCATCACACACTGTCAATAAAAGTTACATATTTCTGCAAATAACATTCACATTCCTTCCTCTCCCTTTGGCCTTTCCTTATCCACCTTTCCTTAAGAATAGTCTATCTAGACTTTCTTCATGGTATTTTGTTCCCAGTGGAGACAGTTATCCACAACACAGCATGAGCAATCCATCTTCCCAGGACAGGCAAGAGGGTTAATACCACAGAGGACCTAAGACCTGCAGATGAGAGTCTCATCAGGATGGGCACTGTTTGAAGGCAGCATTTCTCTTAGTATATTATTTTCTTTATTTTGGATTGTTATTTGTACTTTATCAGGGTGTGTTCATTTGTAAAATGATTTGTGTTTTAAATTATTTCATATTTCATTTAAGAAAGAGGTTCTTTTTATGTGGACTGCTTAAGAAAAGAAGAAGTATTTAGACCTCTCATTCTAGTTCTTTATCTTTTGATCATCTAGGGTAATATCTATAAGCTTACATTTGGCACACATTGTTACATAAATCCCGTTTTAACAGCATCCATGCTCTCTTTCCTAATTTGACTCAGTGGCTCAAAATGAAAACTCAACCCAGCACTCGGGAGGCAGAGGCAGGCGGATCTCTGTGAGTTCGAGACCAGCCTGGACTACCAAGCGAGTTCCAGGACAGCCTCCAAAGCCACAGAGAAACCCTGTCTCGAAAAACCAAAAAAAAAAAAAAAAAAAGAAAACTCAGACTACTTTGTACCACATACATCATGAGTCACTCTGACTCTTATTTTTGTATGTGTGTGTGTGTGTTGTAACACACAAAATTGTTAATTCTAAACTTTCCATAACAGAATGAAAAAAAAAGAAATGAAAAGGAAAGACATGGCTACTCCTAAATATGGTTGAAGAGAAGGGTTTTTGTAGATACAAGGAGAGCATAGTTAGAGGTATAGGCATCTGTGAGGAGAGAGCGGGAGGGGGAAGGAGAGGGAAGAGGTGGGAACCAAGTAGAACACTAAAGAGAACAGGGTAACAAAAAAATTGGATTATAAAGGGAAGGGCAGCTAGGGGGTAGGGCAGCTCAGCCTCTGGGCTGGAGAATTCAGGGTAGAGGACAGGGGACAGGGTATGCCAGTCATGCCCTGTAACAGGTAGGGACAGAGGGAATGATGGGAGAATCTGGCAGTCCATTTACAATGTTATGTTAAATAGGCACTTCAGCCATTTGTCTCAGAGTTTGAGTTGTAACAATACCATGTGAAAATGGCCATAAAAGATGAAGTAGACCTTTCCTCTGAATATTCACTCCTTATGTGTGATGCACAGAAGCAGTTTCCTAAAATATTGAAATCTTATGCAAGCTGTATACTTTTTAACTGGGTGCTTTTGATTTCCTAATCACCGAACAACTTCTAATTTTACAATACAGATGGCCATTTGATCACTGACACTATGTTTTATGGGCTGACTTAACCAAAGACAGGCAGATTAAAACATGTGGATTTCATTCAAATTCAGGTTCTGGTTCCTATTTTGTCCACCCAGAGAATTGCTTATTACAATACTGAAACAGAATGGTCGATTTCACCAGGAAAATTCTCAGATCTCATTTCTCTCACATTGCCACAGAAGTCTGTATCCATGGGAACTACAATCCCTAGCATCAAAATGAGATACCAACGATGATAAGACTGTTTGGGGAAGTGGAAAGACTGAAGAAATGACTCTTGTGGAAATTAAACTACAACTGTAACTAAAGTCCTGAAGAAAATGTTAGTCTATTTACATATAGGATATCCTACTAGGAAAAAAGGTTATGGAGATTACTGGGGCATGGTATTTGACAAACAGCAGTAACTGTAGTTTGCTTAGATGTTACAGCTTGCCTTTGACATCTAGTAGAATATTGTAGCCAGTTAAAAGGATACTGATTGCAGGGTTAGGTAAGATGAGATCGACTACAAAGTGAGATGCTCAGCATGTGTGCATGTGTGTGTGTGTGTGTGTGTGTGTGTATGTGTGTGTGTGTGTGTGTTGTTTCACATTAATAGGTGTGAACAGATGTGGAGTCCAGAAGTCAACATTAGTTATCTTCCTCAATCAATTTCTACCTTACTGTTTTTAAGACAGAGACTCCCATTGAACCTGGAGTTTGCATATTTGACTTGACTGGCTGGCCACAGAGCCCCAGTGACTGACTCTCTGACACTGGAATGATAAGGGCACCCCATTATCTGGCTTTTCATGTGGGTGTGGGTAATCAGAAGCCAGAGACCATGGTGGCATAGCAAGTACTTATTTACTGCCTAAACCATCTCTCCAGTCCCCAAAGTGAAGATTCAAGAACCCAGTATCATCTTTCCCATTGTCAAAGCTTAGTCTTTTCAGCAACTTGCTATTGAATCTGGGGAGCATTATTGTTAAGAGACTTGAATGCCCCAATGGGAACTTAATTACATATTCACACTTTTAGTTTTTTCATTTATAATGAGTTGAAAGAGATTAGTCTGCAGTGAAAGATTACAAGAATAGACCTGTGTTCAGTTGCAGTTCCTTATCCTGTGGGAGGAAGAGACTTCATGAAGAGCATATGTGTTATACTGATGCTAAGAGATTTCACAATCTTAGATGGCACATGAGAATATTAGGACTCTAATGTATCTTCTAGCACATTCAGACGTCAGACTCAAATCATAAGAGAAGCAGAAAAGCATTAATGACAATGCAGGTTGAAATATATGTTCCTGATTTACTCAAAAATTTCTAGAAACTTTAATAGAAAGATATATAACTGAACACTTTCATTTATTAAAAGATGGAATTTATATTTATCAAATTTTATATTTGATGACCTCATGAGTATTTTCTGAGTTATTCTGAATCTAGACTACTTTGAATTTAACATCATACTTGGTGACATTATAGTTGGTGAAGAAGATACAGAGATGTCCTTGTGGGTAGTATAAAACTTCCTTAAAGTACATTTTTCTAAGTAAGGAAGTGAACTGAAATTATTTTTGCTAGAAAGGACATGTGAGTATTCACTAACAAAAATCAAGCAAATGTGATTTCAAAAGGTATATACTGAGTTATCAAGTTATTACTTCCATTAAAAATTTCCCAGTATTCCCCTGCAGAATAAAATGCCAGCATATAAATATGTGTATAGAATAGTTATTTCCCAAACTTATCTAATGGTACTGTATAATGTAACATTTGCAATTACCCTTCTACCATTTTTTTTCTGTAGATATTTGCATCACCCTTTTCTGGAACCCAACTAATATACTGTCACTGCAGGTGCTTCTCGGGTAGACAGATGTCCTTCTCAGCGTTATTCCTTTTGTTTTTTATTACACCTTTGATTGTTACAGAAAATGTACTCCCTGGGCATTTACCAAGTCAAAAATTTTGTTGTTTTGTTTAATTATAGCTGTTTATTTTGAGCTTAGCTGAAACACTGTACCAAAGTGAAGGCCTTGATTGTTTCTCATTTTGGGTAAAATTATCTAGAATTTGTATCATTTAAAATTATTTCTTTTATTGTTATTTTCTTCTGATAGATCATCCTGAATTTCAATTTGTAGAAAGATGACATGGGGCCAAAGGAACAGTGGGTTTTTCAAAGAAGGTGTACAATTCTGTGCTATGTAAAAATCAAGGTCTAGTATATAAAGTTAGCGATGTGTTTTTGTTTGTTTGTTTGTTTGTGTATTTATAAGAAATTGGTTGTTCCCAAAATTATAAATCTGCATTGTATCCAAGAGAAGTCTGTGCTAAAGTTGCTCTCACTGAGTACAGAACACTGTGGTAGCAGTTCAGTACCAGAGGCTATTTGTCTCAATTGTGCCAGCACTGACTAGATGACCAAATTCCTTTCTTCTCTGCTTCTCATCATGAGAGTACACCTTTTCCAGAATAATTATTATGTGCAAGTTCTTAAGACAAGATGAGGGAAGAAATGAATGGACTTCCCCTTGTTTATACTAAATTTTGTGGAGATCTCAGGCAACCAAGCCAGCATTTGGAATAACGAAAAAATTCAATGTATTAAAAGAGCTAATATTCACCTCAATAACACAATCATCTGCCAGATCTTTCTTTTCTTTTTTGTTGAGGGAATTGTCAACATGTTCAATCCCTTTTGCTTTGTGTACAACTGGCCCTCTTAATACCGATTTATGTTACATATAGAAATACTAATTGATACATTGAAAGCGTCAAAATGCTGCTTCAAGGGCAGTGTTGCAAAAGTGAAGAGCTTCAATTATAGAAAAATTCTGACATAGAAAAATGGAATAAGTAGAGAAACAATCCTTTGAGTGTGGCTTGGTGAAATTGAAGCCTCCTTTTTCCAACATGTTTAATATAAAGCACAGTGTGAAGAAAGAGAGGAGAATGAAAGGGAGGAGGAAGTATTGGAAAGATAAAGGGCTATCATTGTCATGGAACATAGACTACCACAGAGTCCATCATAAACTCAGCTGTAGATAACCATAGTCAATGGACACATAAAATAACCCCAGTGACATTCATTTAGAGGTGGTTATTAAAAATCACCCCGAACTCATGGTCATTAATTCAGCTTCATTGTTTGGTGGTAGATTTCACTCAGTGCCAAAGACTTTGCACACTGGTCTTTCATTTTACCTAAAATTTGCAATGGATACAAAGAGATTTTTTATAATCATGCAAAATTCCTTTTGTGTCCTCTATTTTAGACTTGCTCTGCACTATAAGTCAGTGTATATTTCTCTAACTGAAGGGCTGGATGTGCAGCTTAGGAGTAGATCACTCGCCTAGCACATATAATGTTGTTTGAATCCCAGTACCAAACAAAAGAATCAATGAACAAAAGCTCATTTCCCCAATGGGTGATGACTGTATACATGTGTGCTCTGACAGGCTCAATGCTAAGAGTACAGAACTCCCAAACACAGTAGAAAAAACAGGTGGAAACAGCATCCAAAGTCTCTGCAGCCTTGGAGTGTCACCAAAGCACTTCTTTAGTAATATGAATGACTTTCAAATTCTGGTAAGAAATTTGACTTCCCACATTGGTTATAGTCAACCCATCAACTAATAATGGGTAGTGATATCTAGAAATTGAAAATCCTTTCCTATAGCAAAAACAACACATGTCTGTCAGGTTAGACACCAGGTTAGGTCTGCTAAAGATGGTATGGACACTGGGAAAATACTTGATAAATCCTCTTGTGTCTAATGAAAATCAAGTGAAAAGCTTCTGATAGTGTCATCCTGAACAAGGATAAAAAAAGCATCGGCTTAAACATTTCCAAGTAATCATTACTCACTTTGTCTTTCGCATTCATTTTGTTATGGACATAAGCTATTCCCTGCGAAGGGCAAGGCCAAAAGGACACTTGTGAATTTTATTCCCTAGGTACTACCTGCAAGTTAACTAAGTTGTACTGGCTATAGAGAGACGACAATAACAAGAACCCAAATACACATTGTGCACAATTGTTTAACCCCAACTTAGTGAAATTAAAGAGCCAATGAACTGTGAAATAAAGCAGTGTGGTTGGATTGGGGTATGCAAATGGGCACTGGAGTGGACTTGGTCCTCAGTAGACTTGTCTTCCTCTAAATTCACTCATGACTTGGACAGGGTGGATCTTTTTCTTTGCTGAGCCTCTTCTGACAGCTGCACATGTTTCTTCTGGCTTCTCTCTCTTAATCAAGGGCTTTTTTGCTGGAGCCTTCATCCTCCACATGACAACAGGGTGCCGGGGCCCAGCAGAACTCTGGATGCGGATGATCTTGGTGGAAGCAATGTACGACATTTTTACTGTTTGCACTACAGCATTCATTAAATTTTTGGCTGCCTGGATCAGGGAGGTGACACTGTCCAACTGTAGGAAAGAATGAAGAGAAAAGCTACTGTTTAAAATGCAGTCAGGAATGTATTATTTGAGGATGTAGAAGCTGACAGTAACACTGTACTTTGACCAAGAAATGCATGAGTTAACTCTTATTTTACATATCAATATGCAATCATCTACATCATCCCATTCTATTCTTTTAAAAGGTTGATCTGATGCATAAATAATCCATGTTTTGATTTTAATGTGGCATTGCAGAAAGATAAATTTCTTTCTCTTTGTTTGCAAGAAAGCTACACACACACACACACACACACACACACACATACACACACGTGCACGCTCGCACACACACAGTGCAGACATACACATACATCACTTTTTTCTTGAGAATTTCTTAAATAATAACAGTTAAATGGGTCTCTGTTTAAAAAGTAAATGTTAGTGTATCATAGAGATTGTTAATATAGAAAGAAGGGAGAGTGAAAATAAAATTGAATTGAAGGTTTAGATTCCCCTTTGACAACCTTGAGAAAAGGTTTAAATATTTCCATCAAATCAGTAAATTCATAAAAAAATATTTATTAAAGTTAAAGTAATACACATAAGAAACCAATACATTACTGCCAAAAGTCTGCTATAATTAAGTAGCATTGGCTTCACAACCTATGAAGACTGCTAAATTGCTTAATGACACAGATGTGCTCATAAAATGCTCAAAATATCTTTTCCACAGATAATTTTGTTTGTTAAATGTCCAGGATGCTAGTCATGTAAACAATCCCAAGAAAAAGTGGAGTGGCATTCCTAGAATTTCCAAAATACCTTAGAGCTATGCCAAGTCGATTCGTTTTTTATACAACCTATGCTTTTTCAATTATTTTAGCTTGGCAGATTGTCATCTGCAGCCAACTCACTTGGGGAGATGTGCTTCCACTGTCACCCCTCTGTGATAGGAGCTGTCAGGGCTGGGGCTCAAATGCTGACTCTGTGTAGTTACTGAAACCCATCAGCAGCTGCAGGCCTGCATGTTCTACCTCTGCCGCTCTACGAGCTTCATCTTTCATACACAGAATAAGTAAGTGAGGCAGAGTGAGGAGCTGAGGTTATGTGCCTGGGGCTGTGGTCTAGTTGGCTGTTTCCTCACAAGAAAATTTAATTAGCTCCATAATTTGCCAAGCCCAAGATCCTTGAAATCGTAACTCCAAAAATATATGATTTTAAGGACAGCAATACTGACAACTACACACACACACATTTTACACACATGTATTTTTACATATATTATTTTACATACATATATATTTTACTTATTAAATCCAGGACAGTGAAGCCTGTGTATAGGACAAAAATGACAACTGTTTGACAAACACTAACCATATTTTAAGTACTCACAAGTGTTTTAGGGCAGGAACATGTGTGTTTGCGTGTGTGTGTGTGTGTGTGTGTGTGTGTGATGTGTGTGTGCATGTGTGCCCATGCATGCATGTGTAGGCACTGGTGTCATCATCTTCCTCTTCTTATGCTCTGAGACAGTGTTTCTCATTGAACCTGAAACTCACTGCCTGGCTAATGTGATTGGCCCATGAATACCTCTGATCTTGGAAGACATTAGGTAGCTTCTGCATCTGCACACAGCCTTATAAAACTATTAATTTTTAAATAGACTAACAGGAGTCATTGTTAAACTACCAATAGATTAAAAAATTAAGTTTTCCATTTTATAATTGTTTTCATTAAAAGCCTAGTGGCAGGGTTACTTTTTTAAAAATTGTCAAACAGTGAGATACTTAATCCCCAAACATCACAAGCTTTTACTAATGCATTTGGTTATTTTCTAGAACTTGATTATAAGACCCATTTGCTGAAGGCATGATACACTGGGTCAAAGAACAGGAAACATCAAGCTGGCACTAACCCTGAAGCTTTTTCCCACCTGGTTAGCTTTCACAATGCTGGGAAGTACAATGAACACTACCAGAGGTTAAAAAGGTGTAATCAGTAATCTCAGCCAGACATGAACCTGGTGAGCTATGAAAATGACTGACTGGAAAGATGTACTCATTGATGGCACAAATTTTGTGAAATCCAATCATAAAGACTTAAGGTTCACTCCATGTGAAACCCATACCTAACATCATTATCAAACTAAGAAACTAAGGCTAGACAGGCCATAGAACATGGACAAGAGACTGCTACTACTATTCTGCTAAATGAAAATAGTAATAAATTGTCTCTTAATGACTTATAACTATACCCATAGAGTTAAATATATCTCAGACCTCATCAGAGAAGTTTCCATTTGTAGTAGATGATGAACATAGAGTCATAACTGGTCAAGGTTCATGGTCATAGAGTACACAGTGATCAGTCCTGAAGAGAACATATATGTTGCACCTCCAAAGGCAAACAAGGACATATAACTAGCTAAAGAGTCAGAGAATGTAGATGACCAAAACACAATAATGGCTGTGGAGCACAGCAGGGAGTGTCACATATGAATTCACAGCTTTTATGAAAGCACGAACAAGACCTATCCAGGTCAGGACCAAATTCCTCTTTGAGAGGCTAGTTGTTCATGAAGTTCCTTCTCTAAGGAGCTACAGGCAATCATTAGCTACTAAAGAGGTAGTCAGTTTTTGCTAAGAGTGTAGCCCCTGAGAAGTTAACTATGCTCCTGTGCAAGATCGTGCATCCACAAACATGTGGGAAGCACAAATTGCCCTCAATGGGGGAAACAAACAAACAATCAGGAATCACAGGAATTAAGGTGGTTCTGGGAAAAGATGGAGGAGGGAGAGTGACTATGACCAAAATCTGATAAATAGAATTCTCAAAGAACTAATAATAAAACAGCTCCCTGGTGTTCAGTAAAGCGTGGACAGTACTTCCCAAACCCAGAGCAGAGAAAAACATGTTTTTCCACTGAATGAAATAAAATTTGAGGGTGCAGAGTAATGACATTCCTCAAACATGAAAGCACTGACTGTATGCTATGGGTTTCATACCATCATAGATTATTACATAAAAGAAGATCCTAGGGACCACCTGTCACTCAAGTTAAGCTTTCACTAGTGGCTTTGACTTTCCTACTCTCAACACTTACATTCTCTTGTTTTCCTTTTGACTTTGTCATCTTACCATGGGTAGATTACATGGACTTCCTATTGTTTTGATTTACCCATTGACGCAATATCCCTAAACAGGCAGAGAAGGAAGGGAGTTCAAGTTCAATCCAGGCCTCACAGTATGGGGACTGGCTTGCTTTCCTTCTCCACTTAATCAGTAAGCCCCTACCTGTGCTATTATAATCTCTCAGTCTGGTGTCTGAAAAATCCTTTGACTTTAAAACCTTGAATGGTTATAGGAAAACCTTCTCTCCCACATGACTCAGGGAAACCACAGGACAAATTATGCCCCCTGGAGAGCATGAAGACTAGTTTTGCAGACAGCAGATTAGGACAATTGTTCAGAGAATACTGTTACTTTATGAGAAAAATTTCCAGACCTTGTTGAAGACTTTTCAGGTGTATGAGCTATGTGTCCTGAGATGTGTACCTCTGAACTATTAGCTAAATCATAAGCAATAGGCAAAGCAAGCCTGGATAATGGTAGGAAATTTCATTGACTGTCCAAGATCTATGGCCTAGTCATAGAGAAAAAATATGTAGAACTGGATGCCTGCAAAGCACTAGTAAAAGTCCTTTCTATTCATATCTAATTTCATGAAATATATTTTAAGAGGAGGATTTAATAGAACTACCTATGTAAAGACAAAGATAAATTCGACTGAGGTAATACAGGGCTTTGGCATCCGTAGTCAACTTATTGAACAAAATGTCTTTCAAATAACCTGTGCAGTACAAGATTATTGACTCATTCCAAATGTCTAGGAGAGCAAACTAACCAGGCTTTAAAATTCAGGTCTATGGGATCTCTGTTATATAGCTCTTGCATTAGCTGAAAATTCTGCTGGCAAATATAACCTGAAATGTTTGCCACACAGAGACTCTTTTCACTGACATCTGCTAGCACTCCCCTCTGAGCTAGATGGAGAACTAAGAAAGACATCAGTTATGATCCTAAATGTCTACCCTATTCTCCCACCTAATTATAATATGTAAATATTGTATACAAACACACACACACACACACACACACACACACACACACACACACACAGATTCTTGTTCATGCCAAAAAGGGGTAAGAATTGAGTAATTTTCCAAGAAGAATCTACTCTGACCCAAGCAAAGTCTTGTAGCATGAATCAACATGTGTCACTTACCATGACTCCTATATTTTTTTTGATTGTAGGACTTGGGCATCTTCTTGCTAAACTGATGTGGTCTCCAAAATAACAGAGCACAATAGTTCATCGGTGTCACCATAAAGTTCTTAGGGATCAATAGTGTCCAAGCCAAGACAGAAATTGGAAGTCTCTCCTTTTTAAAATCTTGATAAATAGTAAGGGATTATGTCTAATATAATCTTTTTCTAAGACCTGTCTTAAAAACACCCAAATAATGCACATCTACAAAGTCCTTGTCAGTATTACCAACCTCTTACTACTGTATATTGTCTATGCTTTGTGGTATGTTCTACAAGGTTTCAGATAAACCCCAATACAAATGTGACTGGTTCTGAGATGTCTTCAGATTAAAGGCTTGCCTCTACTTGAAATTAAATCAAGACTACGTCATCGTGACAAAAGAATCTTCTTCCTCTGAATTGCCAAACTTTTATCTATGTCACTATTGTATAAAGGATATGTACTCTACAAAAGCTAATGTGTTGTGGTTTGAATAAGAGTGACATCCATAAGCTTCTATATTTGAATACTAAGGCCATAGTATGTAGAACTATATTTTGGGAAGGATCATGAAGTATTGTCTTGTTGCAGAAGGTATGTCACTAGGGGTTTCTGAGGTTTTAAAAGACCATACTTTCCAGTATCTCTCTTTTTGTCTCCAACTGGTAGGTCAGATGCAAGATCTCAGCTACTGCTCTAACACCCCACCTGCCTATCT